CGACGCTGGTGTGCGCCAGCGAAGTGGGCAGCTGGTCGTACTCGCAGCGCCAGAGCCGCAGCCTGTGCGTGGCGGAGGGCGCGGCCAAGAGCGACCTGATGGTTTTCAGCCCCAACTTCCCGCCGCCGCCCGGCGCCGCGGCCAAGGACACGCAGCAGGAGCCTCCCGCTCTCCTCGACACGGTCAGTGTCTCTCCCTCTTCCTCCTTCCTTCCCCGGCGAACTCTTCTATCTTTTGTCCCCTCTGATCCGCCCCCTGGGCCGGCGCTGTTTGGAGCCTGGCTCCGCCGCTGCTGCCTGAGGGCGGTGCGTTCTGAACGGAAATTAAAGGGACTTGTCAATGTGCAGCCTCGTCCTTTCCGGAGAACCCTCGCTCTTGGTGTGTATGTCTCGCGAAGTAACAGTATTACGGTACCCTGGAGCTGATATTTGCTTCAGTGAGCGGGACTTGTTCCTTAGATTGAAATCACTGGCTATTTTGATGAGAGGTGCTCCAAGGTTTCGGGCTTGTAAGCAATGCTCTTGTTTACTGTTGTGTAGGTTTTCGACCCGAGCTTGATGAGAAATACAAGACAGGGAAGCTGTGGTGTTGATAGTCCCCGAGTCACTATCTATTGTACTATTGCCTTTGCTGACGGTGTTGGGATTAGGTCTGTAGTGTTAGGAAAAACTGTCCTTTCCATTCATCCCCTTGCAAGAGATGTGATGCAAAGTTACATTTGGGACCTCAAATTTTTGGCTTTTTGTGGAAAGAACAAATCTGCATTTAGTTTCTATCCTCAGACTCATTAAGAAACTAGGAAAGGCAGTACAGACTTCTACTATCATCTTTTTCCATGTATCTTTTTGCTCTACTGATTACCCATTCAGGCAGAGGAGAGTGACCCAAGGTAAGTGTTAGAATTTATAATTTTCTTGGTGTTGTCCTGCTCTGCTTCTCTGTTGTGAATTTGCCTTCCTGGCCAGAGAAATGGTATGAAATATGGTAGCCTCTTTTGATATTCTATCAAAATGTGTATGAAAAAATCACATAATTTCAACAGTGCTGGAAATATTTTCTGAACACAAAATAAGAAAAATCCAGACAAGTAAAACCCCAAACAAATGTAAAGAATCAGAATTCCCCACCAAACCCCAAACCAGATTCTCCTACACCGCTGGTATCGTCTTTTACAGTTCTGTGCTCCTCAGCATTTTGGTTTTTCTCTTGGATCATGTCACCAATGTCATTGC